TCTATCTATCTATCTATCTATCTATCTATCTATCTATCTATCTATCTATCTATCTATCTATCTACCTACCTACCTACCTATCATCTCCCTCAGAGAGGAACCTACCAGTTTCAATTAGCAGTTACAAAAAATGGATATGCCGGGATTTCATATCCTTCCATGAAAAAGGACATCATTTTTTGCATGTCAGCCGAACACACATATTACACAGAACAATGTTTGCAACACAAAGGATTACAGATTAACAGAGTTGGAAGGGACCTTGTAGGTCATCTAGTCCAACCCCTGCCCAAGCAGGAGACCCTATACCATTTCTGACAAATGGCTGTCCAATCTTTTCTTGAAAGTCTCCAGCGATGAAGCTCTCACAACTTCCGAAGGCAAGCTGACTACTACTACTCCTTCTTCTCCTTCTCCTTCCTTCCTTCCTTCCTTCCTTCCTTCCTTCCTTCCTTCCTTCCTTCCTTCCTTCCTTCCTTCCTTCCTTCCTCCTCATCTTTTCTTTCTCTTTTCTCTTCCTTAAGTGTTCCAGGTGAAATTACAGCATCTTGCTCCCCATTAACCAGCTTGTCACTCAGTTTATCCAGAGCAGCTCCACTTGAGAGCTCAGAGACATGAATCAAAATAGTTGCATGATGTCATAATGGGAATGTGCTCCAGCCAGTGGGTGCCAAGGATTGTCTGCTCTAAAAGCCTGGTTTCCTTTTACAGACTTTTTTAAAGGGACATCATGCTGAACTGCACATGGTCGTTCCCTTCCAGCAATCTCGTGCACCAGGCAGGCTTTTAAATAAAAAGAGGCAAGCCGCAGGTCTTCTAGTCATAGCGCATTTTCCCTGAAGCCGGTCTGCTTGGGCATTTCTTCTACCTCCAGAATTGCTGCGTCTTCTCCTTTCAGAGTTAGCAGGGATTTTAAGCACAACTGTTGTGAGTTAGCTGGGTTTGTGCAGCTGTTCAGGGCATCCATAGATGCTGGTGGAGTTGCTTGGAACTGGCATCGGGAAGATCCCATTCTAGACGAATTCTTGCTAAAGCTTTCTGCTTTTAAATTCTCTGGGATTAAATTGGGGGAACTGAAGAAGAGTTGGCCATCGTTGGTTTACTTCATCCTCTTCATCCTAAACAGACTGATAGAATTTTTCCCAGTGCTGTGTTTTTACATCTTCAACGGGTGCCTTTCTCCCTACCTTCTGCCCCACCTGTGGGCTGGATTTTTTTGCTTGGAACCAAGGTTATGATTGACAGCTGCTAGTGACTGAGCCCATGAAGCGGTTTGGCAGCCTGCGGGGGAGTAAGAAACGAAAGGATCAAAGCAGGAGTTCGGAGAGACGTAAATCGGAACCTCATGGCCTTTTAGGTACGCAAACTTTGCCGGTTTTGGGGGCAGGAGTGGGAAGCGACTAGTGCAGTGTTTCTCAACCTTGGCAGCTTGAAGATGTGTGAACTTCAACCCCCAGAATTCCCCTGTCAGCTTGCTGGTTGAGGAATTCTGGGAGTTGGTCCACACATCTTCAAATTGCCACGGTTGAGAAACACGGGTCTAATGTCTTCTTGGTTTGAGGGAGGGACATGCAAGAGGTAGCTAAATGGGGATCCTTAGGTAGGGCTGTTGGATCCACATTACAAATATCTTGAGGACTAGAAGAGGACAAGAAAGGGGTACGGAAAACTCTTAACTCATTACTACCATCTGGTGTCCATCTAGATCAGTGTTTCTTAAGATGTGTTTGCTCTCAAAACTTTTCGTATTTTTTCAGTTTATGGAGGATCCTAAAGGAGCTCTGGTTTGTATGGGTTATAGTCATCTATATTTACCATATTAATAATAAACATATACAGCATTTAGAATATTTATTTACTGAATAGGGTAAAATAATAATAAACATTAGATATTAGCTTAATTTTTTTCATTAAAATCCTGTTTTTTTAACAAATAAAAATAATAATGAAAAGAGTGATGTTGTTTTAAATTTTTGCAAGTATTTTCAATACCTGGGAAATATTTTGTTTCTATCATTCCCTGAGGGGGTCATGCAGGATTCTAGGGCTCCACTTATCACACTTGGAAGAAACACTGATGTAGATTTTCACAACTCAGATTTTAAGATATATATTTTGGGGGGGGGGGGGCGAGGGGAGGTAGAATAGCAAAAGATTTAAGTTCCATTTTGTTTTATTTTAAATTTCAAAGTGTGACCTCCCTGCATATGTCTATGGAACTTTAATAGGACCTATTACAAAATTCAGTGGAATGATAGATCTGTGGTCATGGCCAGCCACAGACTGCCTGGAATGTCTGAATATTAGTATTAATATTATTAATAATATTAACCCAACTAAGAAGCAAATTCAAAAGACAGCCTATTATGATGTTTCAAATTTGAAATGCTGCAATGCTGTTGTCCAATAAAGAAATGGCAGGGAAAGAAATGTGTATAAAAATGCATGTTGCAGGATCCAAAAAACCCAGATCCAGAATCTTTGGACCTGTATATTTACCTTCATTTGGGAAAAATGCTTGTATGGATGAAAGCATCGCCTTTTGTTACCTCAACATGATATATGTGTTATCTAAGTATATTGCAGCAAAAACGCACATCTAGTTAGATAGGAGAAATTTGTTAGGATAGCATTCCAGAATTAAGAATACTTTTCTATGCAGGATTTATCAATACAAACAAGTTGTAGCAATGAGATGAAATCGAGATGGAAATAAGTGAGGCATTGAGCGAAAAACTAAAAGGGATATTTTTTTCTCAGAGACAGTGGTGTAACTTTCTGGTTCCCCTTGGTCTCCTAGCTAATGGAAGCCAGAATATTCAGTACAGGTAGTCCTCAATTTATAACAATTCATTTGATGACCGTTTGAAATTACAACGGCATTGGAAAAACTGACTTATGACCAGTTTTCAAACTTATGACCCTTGCAGAATCCCCATGGCCACTGATGCATTGTCCCAGGGTAATGGGATCATCACTTGTGACTTTCCGAGCTGACTTCTGACAAGCACAGTCAGTGGGGAAAGCCACATGATTTACTAAACTGATTCACTTAACAACTTTGGCAAAAAGGGATGTCTTGACTTCCTTGCTTGACAACAGAAATGTTGGGCCTAATTGGGGTTGTAAATTGAGGACTACTTGTAATCCTCAAGCCTCTAAAATACTTGACGTCATCTTCCTCAGCCTAGTGCCCTCCAGATGTATTGCAAATATATTTACAGGTGGTCCTTGACTTACAGCCATAATTGAGCCTACAATTTTGGTTATAAATTGTGAGAGCCATAAAGCAGCTCACTACATGACCATTCCTGAATTTATTAGCCTATTTTGCGGCAGTCATAAAGTGAATCTGGCCACCATTAAGAGAATGCTGTGATCATTGTTTTGGGATAATTTTTGCCAGAAACTGGAAATAAAATTCCTATTTTCCCCAAAAATGTCATAAAATGGAGTCAGGTGACCCTGAAGTACTGGAAATGGTTGTATAAGTGCAACGACTGGAGGACATGGAAACAAATCCAGATTATTTCCATTTTCAGGGTCTCTTATAACTTTGGACATTTGCAAAATGACCCATCATAAAGTAAAGACTACTTATACAGGTAGTCCTTGACTTATGACCACTGTTCAATCCAAAATTTCTGCTACTAAGTGAGACAATTGTTAATTGAGTTTTGTCCCATTCTATGAACTTTCTTGCCCCAGTTGTTAAGTGAATCGTTACATTTATTAAGTTAATAACACAGTTGTAAATTTGGCTTCCCCTTTGACTTTGCTTGTCAGATGCTTGCAAAAATTGATCACATGACCCCTGGGACACTGGATGCCAGTTGCCAAGCATCCGAATTTTGAACACATGTACATGGGGATGCTGCAATGGTCGTAAGTGTGAGAACCAGTCATAAGTTACTTTTTTTCAGTGCTGTTGTGATTTTCAATGGTCACTAAATTAATGCTCGTGAGTCGAGGACTACCTGCCCTAGCTGTAGTAGTCACAGCAATTCATAATGCTGCAAATGTGATAAGAGCTGCTGTACCCAGATGTCTGGGCAGCCTGAATGTTTCACCCATGAGCAGTTCCAGGTTTGGGAGGAAACTATCCATTCCTTTCATTCTCAACCGATTTTGATAATTGCACTAGATTAGATCATATTTATCTGTGATTTTTTTGTCCTCTTTAAAAAGACTTGCTCCCTTCCGTCATGTTTATGAAAATACATAATGCCATCTTTGATTTTATAAAAAATGGTCAAACCTTAACTTAAGCTCTTAGAGTCTTTGGGGATGGTAAATTAACAATGTTCTGTAAAGGAATTGTAGGTGTTCGCTTCTCGTCAGTTCCTTAATTAAATTATTATTTCAGTGTCATAACGTAAGGGATATTTGGAGCTGATTAATGGGAGAAGTAGGAAGGTGACTCTAAAAGGCAAAAGCATTGCTTGGCGCCCCTCACCCAGCAGAAATCTTCTGAATCCAGAGGTATGGAAATAGACCCATATATTTTGCCCCTTGGAGTCCTCTGGGACATTGTGCAGAATCAAGGCAGGTAGGGAGAAACAGGAAAGGGAACAAAAGTTAAGATGGCAGCCACAGCTGAGTGACCAAAGCGCAGAAACTCTGAACCCAATTGTGGTCAGAACCCAAGTTGAGGACTACCTGTATAAGAAACCCAGCATGCTATCTTCTTCCCCATACTCAGGTGTGGTTTTTTGATATTATGTGAGCACCATAGCTGTGCCTTGTACTGCTACTTCTACTATACAACCATGTTAGAAACATCTACCAAGGCACTTCCAGGTTGAAAGGATTAGCTGGTGACATCACCATTGTCCAGGGGGTTCCTTTCACGTCTCTGTTATTTTCCCATCAAAGTGGTACCTATTTATCTACTTGCATTTGCATGCTTGGGAACTGCTAGGTGGGCAGAAGCTGTGCCTGGTTAAACCAGGGTTTAGGTTTTTGTTTGCCGTGTAAACATGACCACTGAGTTTAGAACTCTTCCCTTGGTCCTTGGGATGGTCAGAAGCTCCTGCTCTAGAATGTAAGAAAACTGCAATCAATCAATAAATTTGGGGTGCTTGAGAATTTCCAGAGGAACACACTGAATTGGAACAATCATCAATAAGGCCTGAAAGCCGAAGAAGACAGGAGGTTGGAGATCTGCCAGGCCTTTTAGATTCCTTGGCTGTCCCTTCCATCTTGCACAAGCTCCATCTCAAGGTTCTGGGAGTGATCCCCTCGTCCTCTCACCTTTTCCCCCAATGTCAGTTCACACCTCCAGTAAACGTATCTTCTTTTTTATCCTAATCTAAGTGCCTAGCATGGTGGGCTACCACATACATTTGAAAGGTAATGCAGAAATGTCTATGGAAATTCTTGATCATCCTGGTGATGATTGTCCTCAAAAAAATTTTTTCCAGAAGGCAACTGGATTTTCTTGTGTTTTTTTTCCCATGAAAATATTTTGCTTCTCATCCAAGAAGCTTCCTGGATAAGAAATAAACCATTTTCAAGGAAAAAAAACAAGAAAGTCCAGTTGCCTTCCAGCTACTGGAGATCTCCCAGCAGGGTTGGATTTTAACAGAATTTAGAGAAGTAATTTTATTCTTTTGTTACATTTGCTCCTCAAGAAGGAACAAGTACACAGGTGGGCAAAAAATTGAGGTAGCAACTACAGGCATACATGTAAAAAGGAATTGATGCTTCAGTTGTGTGGCTGTGGCTGACAGCTTGATTTTTTTTTTAACTATGTCCCTCAATTATATGCCAGGCATTGCCAACATTTCACGGTTAAAAGGAACAAGTGGGAAGTTTGTACCTTCAGATTTGCAAGACTGATGTTAGCCAACCTGGGTAAACCAGACAGGAAGCACAACTTTATGATCTAAATTTACTTTATTATAAGACGATCTTCCCACTACCACTTTTAACTGCCTGATCCATTAGGACTGGTCCTTTCTGAGTTTCTTCCTCTGATAAGCTGCTGGGGGCTCCTGTCTCTCTTTTCAAATTGCTTCCTAGGCAACATATTTCCCCTTTGTCTCCCAAGGTCATCCACAAATTGCATTATACTAAAACATAGCGAGTATGTATGGCCAGTCACAAAACGTCCATTTATTTACAGCTCCAACAGGTAATAGTAAATGTTCCCCTTGCACGTATTGCTAGTTGTTTCCGGCTCTAGGGTGTGGTGCTCATCTCTATTATAAAGCCAAAGAGCCAGTGCTGTCCAAAGACAAAATGACTAAACACCAAAGGCGCACAGAACACTGTTACCTTCCCACCAAAGTGGTCCCTATTTTTCTACTTGCATTTTTACATGCTTTCAAACTACCAGGTTGGCAGAAGCTGGGACAAGGAACGGGAGCACACTCCGTTACGTGGCGCTAGGGATTCAAACTGCCAAGCTGCCAACCTTTCTGATCGACAAGCTCAGTGTCTTAGCCACCATGTCCCAATATCAGGATAATCACTGTCAATCCCCAACTTCTGTTTTTCTGGAGAGAAGAACCCCCTTGCAAATAGGTTCTGGGGCACAGCAGCTCACCCTTTTTATTTTTTAGATTGCCGGTGGAGTCCAAGTGATCTCTGTGGGTATTGGTGGCAAGAATGATGGTCCTGGTGCTTCAGTTTGCCACATGGCAGCTTTCTTTTACATTTTGTTTGAAATTCAAATGATTTGCAAAAAGTAGCAATGAGTATGGCCTTGATGTAGGGTTACCTTATGTGAAGTGCAAGCTCCCCAAATGCCCACTAGATGGAAGCAAAGAGGAATACTCCCTGACTCTTTGCTGTCATATGGAGGTCATTCAGATATTTTGCAGTCCATGGGTGATTATCCCTGCCCAGTGGGTATAAAAATAGGAGCCTGTGGATGCTACAATCATGGGCCATGGCTGTACCCTACAGAACACAATTTGGGAAGAAGTTTCCAAGCAGGATGATATTACATGTACACTTTAAAGAGGCCCCATTTGTTCAGAGATATGTTGAAGGACACTTTCAAAGGATGCAAGAGTGAGAACAGATTCATCTGATCAGATCAACACTGAGAGGAGGATGCCTTTGCACTGCAGCTGTGAAAACATCTGAAGGATTTCCAGTTCAGCCTGACAACGATTATAAAATGATGCCTCTCCTTTTGCTGACACCCAACTGCTAATTCAACCCCCAATCTAAGGATGTGCTAGGGCTCAATTTTTACTCTCTGGGCTGAGAGTATTTTTCTTGGATGTTCCAGGATGGCTTTTCTCTGCATTTTCCTGGAGTGGAAAAGTCATTTAGTAATAAATAAATAGACTCCAGCTTTTGCAATCAAGGCTGGATAGGAGCAAAGTTGAGGAGAGACTGGCTAATTGTGCCAACAACAACAACAACAACAATGTAAAAAATATGACTTACCTGATCCAAAAAGTCATGGGAACATAAGGTGGAAAAAGTTGTTGAAAATAAGGTGAAGATCTTAAGGTGGGGTGGGATGCTACCGGTTCTGCCCGGCTCTATAGAACCGGTAGCTCTGAAGAGCAGCAGACACTGAATCGGTTCTGTATCTGCTGCTGTTTGGCCCACCCACCCGCCCGGGCTCTTTCCTGACCTTTATTTCCTGCTTTTTCAACCTCAACTGCTTTGTGCAACACAGCTGAGGTTGAAAAAGCAGGAAAAAAGTGGCTTTTCAAACACTGTGCATCTGTGCGCAGTGCTTTTCAGCTGTCCAAGTGGCACAGCTTAAGGGTTTTTACACACACACGCAGCGCAAATGCGCGTACAAAACATAGTCAGCAAACCAGTAGTAACACCGGTTGACTCCCACCCCTATCTTATAGGACTTTAGAATACAGACGGATCATCGTTTGGAACACAACACACCAGATATCACAGTTATCGAAAACTGAAATGTACGATTTATTGATATTGCTGTACCAGGAGATGCCAGAGTTAAACAGGAAAAAATCATGAAATATCACAACTTGGCCATCAAAACTACACAATTATGGATGAAACATGTGATACCCATTGTCATCAGGGTACTTGGTACCATGTCCAAGAATTTTGCAAAATACATCAAGAAGTTGCAGCTTCCTGCTGTAGTGCCAGCAGAGCTGCAAAAGACTGCGCTGCTGAGAACAGCATACCTTTTAAGAAGATACTTGGTTGATTCCTAGGATGCTGGCAGCAACACAGATCAACCATCAGAGTCAGTCAATGATATTTGTGATACATTGTAAAATGTTCAGTTGACCGAGTTTCATAAAAGTTTATAATGATAATAATAATTTATTATACCTACCCCACTTTACCACAGTTTTGAAAAGTTGTCTTTCCGCATCTATGATTTGGGACATCAGATATTGGATTAGTTTCAATTACCCAAATTCCTGCCTCTTGTTTCCTGCAGAAATCATCTTCAAACTTCATTAGCTGGTGAAGCTTGCTGGGCTTCTAGCAGTGGGAAGCAGAGCATTAAGGTCCTGATTTTAGAGTCCTCTTTTATCAATTAGCAGGACCAAATGAGACCGTGGATGCAGAGATATCTCCAAGGTGTGATCAAAATGATCAAGATAGTGGCCACATTAGGGTGATTGATCTTATGTGCCACACCTCATCATAGTCACTATCTTTTTTGCAGTAGCTTGAGGACATTCCTGCAGAGATGATAACGAAACGTGGGGGAAAAAATCCAGACAAAAAACATATTAATCTTCTTTTTAGGGCTGGTGACAGTTTTCTACCAAATGTGCAATTCCATCATTAAAGATGCAGATTTTAGGCACTGTAGCCAAATTCAATATTTATTTATATCCCATTTTCTTATTTTTACAAATAACTCAGGACTGTGAACATATCCAACATATCTTACTCCTCCTATTTTCTCCACAACAGCAACCTTGTGAAGTGGGTTGAATTGAGGGAGAATAATTGACCCCAAAGCATCCAACCTAAAACCGGACTAGAATTCATAATCCCCTGGTTTATAGCCTTGTGCCTCCTTAACCACTAGATCAACATGGCTCTCAATATTCCACCATTGTGTTACTTTGATCACCACCCCGACCATGGCAATGTTTTAACACAGTTTGTGATCCAAATTCAGGCCTTTGATTAGACTGTGGTTAGGAAAGAATTGGGTTTGCTGTCTCCCAACTAAACTGTTGTCTCTGGATTATTACAGAGGATGGAACAAGAGTTGTGTCCACTCTTTGACCTCCTCAGAGAAAACATATGAGATAAACCAGCAACAATACATTTTTACAACAGTTATCAAAGCCAGTATGGATTTCTGTAGGAGGTCAAATGATTAGTTAGCAAAATATTTGCTTTATTGATCTACTGTGTTTTTCCAATTTGCTTTTCAACCTTTGAGAAGATTCACAGAAAAATTTCGGTGCTGTCAGGACATTCAGAGGCCAAATTTTGTTTGCAGAAACATTTCAGGGACAGAAAAAGACTCAAAGATCTGGTTTTCAGATCAGAATAACAGAGATGGAGGAGACCTTGTCTTCTAGTCCAACCCCCTGCTCAAAGATAAGATCTTATACCATTCCACACAAATGGTTGTCCAATCTCTTCTTAAAAATCTCCAGTGATGGAGCACCCAAAACTTCTGGAAGCAAGCAATGATTAATTATTCTCACCATCAGGAAATTTGTATTTTGTTCTAGGTTGGTTCTCCCCTTGATAAGTTTCCGCCTTCTTGTTCTGCCCTTTGGTGCTTTGGAGAACAGTTTGGCCCTCTCCTCTCTCTGACAACCTCTCGACTATTCGGAAGAATATGGTGTGTACAGTCTGTGGACCAACGCAGATGTGTAACTCTGTTTGGAGTTAGTTGGCTAGATTTCAGGAACACCTTTTATAGAGCCCTTGCTGAATTCTTCTTTCATTGCCCTCCCATCACTTTGGCCCTTGAGTTATCTCATTTCAGAAAACATGGAGCAACAGGTCTGAACACAAGTATGTATAAACAAGTTCAGTACATATCAGCAGGATGCCTACTGCATAGCAGTACTCAGGTTATATTTGTAGACTGTACTCAAACTGTTAAATAACTGTTTATGACAGTGTTTCTCAACCTAAGTAAGCCTGCTGGGGAATTCTGGGAATTGAAGTCCCCATGTCTTAAAAGTTGCCAAGGTAACCCTACCTCATCAAGCCCATACTCATACCTTTTGCAAACTTCTGACAGGCAAAGTCAATGGGGAAATCCAGATTCACTTAACAACCATGTAATTAACTTAACTGCAGTGATTCACTTAACATCTGTGACAAGAAAGGTTGTAAAATGGGACAAAACTCACTTAACTCATCTAACAACAGAAATTCTGGGCTCACTGATTGTTGTAAATTGAGAACTACCTGTATATCTGTCTGCTGAAGAAGGAACAAGTATATTGTCAACTGAATGATCTAAGCCAGGGGTCCCAATCCCAGTCTGTGGACTGGCACTGGGCTGTGGCATGCCAGAAACCGGGCTGTGCAAAGAAGCAAAGCCTCATCTGTGAGATGCAGACAGCATGCAAAACCAGGCCCCTTCTGGTCCATGGAAAAGCCTCTGTCCGCAGAACTGATTGGGGGGGGAGGGGCGGCACTGATCTAAGCTGTTTTCTCCCTTCCAGTAGTTAATTCTGTAATTGTAGACTCCTTGAATGACCAAGGACTGACATTCTACGTGAACAAACTTGGCATAGCTTTAGATGACCTGGTCAGGTTTCAGGTCAATCCCAGGACAGCCTGGCCTGCAAGAATTACTATTAAAGATGGGTTCAAAGAGTTTGTGTTTCTAGCCTTAGTTTTTCAGATGATACTAGTGTGCCCAGATGCAGAAAAGGTTTCCATACCTTGCAGAGAAAATTTCAGATCTGTTTTGATAGGTACTCAAATTCCAGCTCTCCCTAATGTTGAAAAATATTAGAAATTATAGCTTTTTCTGTACATTGCATGGGCTGGTGGTGGTGGTGGTGGAAGGCTGAGGTTTTTTACAGATCTAAGAAACTCAAGTGTCCTATCAAGCAGCTACACTTCGAATATTAATTTAGCAGGAGGGTGAATCATAGTTCTTTTAAATAAAAACAAGAAAATTCCTAATGGCCTATAAAACTTGTGCACATTAAATCTGCATTGGTTTTGCATTTTTTAAATATCAGATTACCTTGAAAAGTGCATGCAGCATTTCCGGACTTGAGAAGAATGTCTTTGACTTGCAAGGATAGCGATTCCTAGGTAATGCCTTCAATATTTTCTTTTCAGATAAGCTTGGTCTGGAATATGGAGACCTAAAATTTGCAGTTCATCTTAGGGTAGAAGATTTCACACATAGTTGATCAGGTGTTTTGCATTGTTGAAGAAGCACCAGTTCTTAATGGTGGAGCACACACTTTATATATACTTCCTATGTTGACTTCCTACGTTGCTAGCTATTTTGAAATTGGGTGTCCTTGTTACTGATCATTTTTTTAAATGACATTGGAAGAGAGTGGCACATGCTTTCTATCTTGGTTGGTCTTCTGAGTAGATGGTCTTTCCTCCTTGTGTTCTCCTTGGAAATGTCCTCTTATTTTTTTTAGCCCTGCCTTGACCCATGGTTTCTGGCTTTCTGCCCATCCATGACCACTCTTAAATTATTTCAGGCAATTCCATCCTTCCATTATGCAAGAGCCTTCATGCAATGCCATGT